GAGCCCGTGTGTGCGTCCTCAGAGCCCGTGTGTGCGTCCTCAGAGCCCGTGCGTGCGTCCTCAGAGCCCGTGTGTGCGTCCTCAGAGCCCGTGTGTGCGTCCTCAGAGCCCGTGTGTGCGGGCGTCCTCAGAGCCCGTGTGTGCGGGCGTCCTCAGAGCCCGTGTGTGCGGGCGTCCTCAGAGCCCGTGCGTGCATCCTCAGAGCCCGTGTGTGCGTCGAGCCCGTGTGTGCGTCCTCAGAGCCCGTGTGTCCGGGCGGCGGCCTGCTGGGAGAAGATTTAAAGTATTTCAGAGTTTATCGGACAGATGTGAAAAGCAGCGTGACTTTTTCACTTTTATAATAATGTGAACTCTGTGTGTGCACGTGTGTGTGTCTGTGTGTGTGTGTGTGATCAGTGTTACATTTCCACTCACAGCTTTGTTTTGCACCTTTAGGCTGAGCAGGGTTCTGGGTCACGAGGACCATCTGATCAGTTTTTATGTGTTCTTATAGCGACATGTGTGAATAATCAGGACTCTGCTGTGACTCTGGAGCCACTCGTCTCTTTTCTATATTTATATATTCTCTTGTTGATCATGTGATCCTGGCCTTTCGCAGGGAAATGTTTGAGTTTTGTTTGTTTCCTGTTTGTTCCACTGACTGGTAACGGTGCTGCGTCCTCATCACTGCTCCTCCACKTCTCTGGAAACCACCTTTGTAATGTGACAAAAAAGATAAATAATAAAGAAAACCCTCCTGTCTTATGAACGTAGTCATTTCTGTCTCAAACTAAAGAAATTACATTTCCTGTGAAGATGAGTGTGAACGCTTATTGCTGAAAACCTCAGCTGAAAATGTTTTATATCAAAACTAAATGACTTCAATTTGAAACGTTGACAAAAGGTATTTGAAAAAAAAAAAGAATAGCAGAAAGAAGCAAAACTATGGATAAAATATCAGGAAAAAAAGATAAAATATGCTTAAAAGACACTAAAGGTAGCAGACATGATTGGAAATTCACACAGATTGTGAAAAGAATGTAAAAATGTCAAATTAGCAGGAAAAACAAAACATAAAAAGTTCGTTGTAAAATAGCTAAAACAGCTGTCGTGCAGTAAAACAGCTGAAATAGCCACCAAAGTGTGAATTAAGCCTAAAAACAAGCTAATTCAGCTAATAACAGCTAAACAGCTGAAAGTGCAGCAAAAAGCTRAATATGGCAGAATGCAGCTGCAAGAAGCAAAACTATAGATAAAATAGAGAAAAGCTACAATTAGCAATAAATAAATAAAAAGCTAAAGGTGGCAGACAAAATTAGAAATTTGCACCCAGACGGTGAAAGGAGTGAAAAAAAAATAAAATAAAATTTGCATAAAAAATTAAAAACAGAAAAGTGATAATTGGTTGTAAAATAGCTAAAGCAGCCAAAATGTGCAATAAAACAGCTAAAATGTAGCTGTGAAATCTTAAGCACAAGAAACCATAAGGAACACAAGTTTGCTGAACCAAGCTGAAAGAAAAAAAACATGTAAATTTAGCCTAAAAAGCTAACTTTAGCTAATAACAGCTGAACATTAGCTATAATTGCAGCAAATAACTGAATATAGCAGGAAGCAACTGTAAGAAGCAGAAACAGCTCAAATTAGCAGAAAGAGGCACAAAAAGGTAGAAAATAGAACTAAAGTGAAGATAGCTGAAAAGAAGCTAAAATAATCAAAAAAAAAAAAAAGCTAAAATCAGCACAAAGAAGTTAAAAAAGAGCAGAACCAGAACAGAAGGTTCTGTAAATATTTAGAAACATTTTAAGGACGTTGAAAACAGCTACATTCATTTTCAACGGGGAAAAAAAATGGCTAAAAAGGTGAAATAGCTGAAAAAGTATAAAAAGCTGAAATACCAAAAATCATAGCTGGAATGTCCTGCAGGAGCTGAACGTTTTGATGTACGAATTGTTGAAAAAGCACAAAAAAAGTGTAACGAGAAAACCGTATGGAAGAAGATGTCAATAAAATAAAATAAAAAAAACAAAAAATAATCTGTAATTTCACACGACCTGATAAAATGTACAACTTTAAAATGAAAAACTTTAAATCTGAACGTCTGAAGAAAGAAAAACACAGAAAAGAAAAGAACTGGGATTTTTATTAGACACTAAAAATCACAGAGACAGAAGTTTTAGGGTTGAACAGCACAAATAAAAGTTATGTATCTATTCCAGGACAAACACTCCTTTATGCTGAACTTTGTTTTTTTTTTACACTCTGAAACAATCTGTTGGTGTTGCCATGAATACAATGGTTACAGGTCTGTTGCAACGTCCAAAATAAGACATGAAATATTATCATATGTGTAATTTACAGGTCGGGATGCAGGTTTGAAACCCAGCTGGGATGAAATCTTTCCACTGCTGAGACTGAGGGGAACAGTCAGTGAATTCAAGGCACTGGACTCAGATTTATGGTCAACATTTCCAGGTGAGGTAGTGAAATCACTCGACAGTGAGGTACGTTTGGGATATCGTGGATTAAATATTGGCTTATTCCTATTTTCTCTATGGTACAGTTTACATTTTAAAAAAAGATGCTCTAGAGACTTGGGAGGCATCAAACCCTGTTCACACTCTGTGCAGTCGCGAAGCCGACAGAAAGCCACTWCTAAAGCGCGTCAGTGACGTTAGCCTGTGCTTACAAATCATTTCACTTCACACACACCTTTGGATCGAGTCAAAGTTTCATCAAGTCCAAGACCGGAACGCCCCATTTGGTTTTTTTATGTTTCGTCCTCAAAGTTCAGAGCAAAAATATCTAAAAACTTTTATATTTTTAACCTTTAAAAGAACAAAAACACTGGTTAAAATCAACTGGTGGTGAAATCTATGGAAGTCCAAAGATGCCAAATTTAAAAAAAGGTCAAGTAGCAACAGCAAAACTGGTAAAAAAATTACCTTATTTATCCATGTATAATACAATCATCATTTTTTGAGCTTCCAAAGCACAAATAAGTCTAATAATCAATAAACTGTGTATAATACTACCCCAACTTTATGCATATTTTAAGTGTTAAATTTCTAGTATTATACATGAATAAATACAGTAATGTCTTTTGTTTACATTAATATCTGGAGAAATAAAAACATTTCAATGCATAATTGAGATCTTTGTTCACACAACTTTAAAAATGTCAACATAAAACAAAAMCTAATTTCGTCACACAAGCATTTCTACGAAATCAAATTTAAATTAAAAAATTGGCAAAATTAAGTAAATTTCTGAGCAATGTTGGAGATTTCCTGACGAATCAAATAACTTTGGCTTGATTTAAATATCTGCACTGATGTGGGGTGAAAATATAATTTTGACAGCTTTTGACTTCCATACMTCAAAACAGAAATATCAGTTCCTGTTCTGAGCGTTCCCGTCTTGGACTGATTGTAAACATCTAAGCTGCTAACATTTAGGGGATTCCACTGTGAGCTTTTTTTTTTTAAAAATAAAGATAAAAATAAAAAAGCTTCTCAGTGTTCATCACTCGGGTTCAGGGACTCGCTACAACTGCATGAACTAATCACTCATTCATTCACAAAAAGCAGCAGAAAGAACCAGCCATAGATTTCCCTTCCGTCATTGTAACATCAACCCAGCAAGTCAAGAAAAGCTGCCCGGAAAAATAAAAATAAAATAAAGATGATTACCTGACAGGAAGTTAATGTGCCAAGGAACAAGAATTTTAGGAGCCAAATTAATTATTTAAAAAAAGGTGCGAACAATACATTCTTTAACCTGGACTGCTTTTCTTTTAATTTGAACGAGTATGGAAGCCTGCAGGTGACACAAACAGGAGCGATAATCATAAAAACCACGATGTAAAGAGAACAATAATGCCCACAACGTTTTGGGTGCTGCTGATTTACTACAAAATACAAAATACCACTATATGTGCATCTGCTTTGCTCTTTTACTTATAAACTGTTTAATAACTCTCTGGACCTGTTAACGCCTGTTAAAATACATCATCGTGTAAGAAAAATACTGTACAAAACAGAACAACTTTCTACAAACATTTCTCTGGTTACCAGTAAAATCAGCTGTGAAGTGGATCGTTTGGTCTGCAGTGAACAAACTGATCGTGTTAACCACAGTATCGGACAACACCAGCCAACTTCCTGTTTTGTTTTTTTCTAATAACATCTTTTTACAATCGTTCAGCCATCTTTACAAAAAAACAAAAGAAGGCAAACACAGCGACAGAGAGAGAAACTACAGACTCATCGTGCTAAATTCAACAGAAATGATCAACAACGCTGCAGAAAAAAAGAAAAATAGCTTTTCCATCTGTGACAGAAACCATGCTGAAATCTGAAAAACAAACAAACAAACAAACAAACAAACAAACAGAGGCTAAACAAGTTTTCAGAGTAGTATCAATACTAACAATTATATCAACATAATACATGTATGTTTATTTAAAAATAACAATCATCCATCTGAAAAATAAAATAAAACAGAGATAAATACGAGGCGGAGGAATTTCGAAGCGTGGGGGTCAGATTGTGAGACGCTCGTTAGTGCAGAGGTCAGCTGACCTGTTAACGAGGACTGGGGGGGGGGGGTCAAGCTCAAAATTATTGCTTGAGTTTTAAAAGAACAACAACTTAAAATAAGGATAAAAGAGGGCAAATCTACGCCTCGTTTGCACAGGAGAAACAAATTCATGTGCTATCAAAAATGCAAAATCAGAGCCTCAAAGTGAAAGATGACGAATAAAAAGCTGAAAATCTTAGTTTGAAGCAGATTTATGGACAGACAGGAGGAAACAGTTTTTAGTTCTGATCTCACGTAGAAAACTGATTTGAACAAACAGCATGTTTTTTTAATAATGGAAGTGGGGGGGGGTCGTGGGGGGATTGGTTCTGTTGGGTCGGCTCATAACTCCTCACAGTACATTAAAGAAGGAAGTATGCATGTGTAAATATATATTTATCTGTGTTTATATATGAAAATAAAGAAGGAACAGATGAAATGAAGCTGATAGACGTCATGAGAACCAGAAC